AGAGGACGGCGAACGCCTGCGAAGACGAGAGTCCTCCTCTAGAGGACGGCAAACGCCTGCGAAGACGAGAGTCCACTAGAAGGCTGCAAACCTCTTAGAAGGCGAGTCCTCCAGAGGACATAAATGTCATAAAGAAATCATAAATTTATGTAATGACGATAACTGCCAGATGTCTGGCCCCTGAGCAGTCTGAATAGCCCTGGACTAAAACTTTCTACAAACAGGGAAGTTTATTTTAACCTAATTTTAATAACAATGTTGAAACAGACAGCTGAACATTTATTTATTAATTTAAATATCATTTAATCAATGAATTATACATAAACTACAGCATTTGATCAAAATAAACACTTAAAACTTATTTTAAGCCCCTCCACCACCACACCCTAATCATACGCCTGGACCTTTATATGTTCGGACCCTGGGAATTTATCAGAACACCATGGAGATGACGATGAAACCAGTGGAAGCATTGAACAAGTTACAGTATTTTAACACTTGTACTGTAAAGGTAGTAGGACCCCAGGGTAACTTCTATCAACTGAAGGTCTCTCTCACATTGACTGATGTTAATGTTCATGAGTCCACCATCAGGAGAACTGAACAACAGTGGTGTGCAGGGCAGGGTCCAAGGAGGAAACCACTGCTCTCCAAAAAGAACATGGCTGCTCATCTGCAGTTTGATAAAGATCATGTGGACAAACCAGAAGACTGTTGGAAGAATGTTTTGTTGATGGATGAGACTAAAATAGAACATTTTGGTTTAAATGAAAAGTTATGTTTGTTGAAAGGAAAACACTGCATTCCTACATAAGAACCTGATCTCAACTGTGAAACATGGTGGTGGTTGTATCATGGTTTGGACCGGTTTTGCTGCATCCGGGCCAGGACGGCTTGTCATCATTGATGGAACAATGAATTCTGAATTATATCAGAGAATTATGAAGGAAAATGTCAGAACATCTGTTCATGAAGTGAATCTCAAGAGAAGGTGGTTCATGCAGCGACAATGACTCTAAGCACACAAGTTGTTCTACCAAAGAATGGGTCAAGAAGAATAAAGTTCATGTTTTGGAATGACCAAGTCAAAGTCCTGACCTTAATCCAGTCCAGATGTTGTAGAAGGACCTGAAGCAGCAGTTAATGTGAGGAAACCACCAACATCCAGAGTTTAAGCTGTTCTGTACGGAGGAATGGGATAAAATTCCTCCAAGTCGGTGTGAAGGACTGATCAACAGTTAGTGGAAACATGCAGTTGCAGTTAGTGCTGCACGTGGGGGTGGGGTGGGGGGTGTCACACTGAGAGCAAAAATGTAATATTGGATCATTTTCCTCAATAAATAAATGACCAAGTATATTATTTTTCTATCATTTGTTTAACTGGGTTCCCTTGATCTACTTTTAGGACTTGTGTGAAAATCTGATGATGTTTTAATTCATATTTATACAGAAATATAGAAAATTATAAAGGTTCACAAACTTCCAAGCACCACTGTGTATACTGTGGAGAAAAAAAAGTATTTGATATGCTGCCAATTTCGCAAGTTTTCCCACCTACAAAAAAATGGAGATGCTAATTAATAGTTATTGTATATACATTTCAACTGAGAGACAGAATCTAAGAAAAAAAATCCAGAAAACCACGTATGATTTGCAAATAATTAATTTGCATTTTGTTGCATGAAATAAGAATTTGATCACCTACCAACCAGCAATTCTTTTTCTCACAGACCTGTTAGTTTTTCTTTAAGAAGCCCTCCTATTCTGCACTCTCTACCTGTATTAATTGTACTTGTTTTAACTCATTACCTGTAAAAAAGACACCTGTCCACACACTCAATCAATTCCACTCCCACGTCTCCACCATGGCCAAGACCAAACTGCTGTCTAAGGACACCAGGGACTAAACTGTAGACCTGCACAAGGCTGGGGTGGGCCACAGGACAACAGGCAAGCATCTTGGAGAGAAGGCATCAACTGTTGGTGCAATTATAAGACAATGGAAGAAACACAAAATGACCGTCAGTCTTCCTCAGTGTGGGGCTCCATGCAAGATCTCTCCTTGTGGGATAAGGTTGATTCTGAGAAAGGTCTGGAATCAGCCCAGAACGACACGGGAGGACCTGGTGGACAATCTTAAGAGAGCTGGGATCACAAATCTCAAAGGGGCCCATTAGTAACACACTACATCGTCATGGTTTAAGATCCTGCAGGGCACGCAAGGTCCCCCTGCTCACGCCAGCACATGTCAGAGTCAGAGTCAACTAGAGTCAGAGTTTCTTTATTGTCATTCGCACCTCATGTGGTACATGTGGTGGAGCGAAATTATGTACACAGGGTCCCAGTTACATCCAACAATAAAATGTATAAGAAAAACAGTAATAACATCTAAGATGTGAACTAAGAAAAACATCAACTAAATATACACTAAGCACTCATAACATAAAACATTGAACATCAGCACAAACATGAACATGAGTCTGTGAGCAGATGTGCACGCATGAACACATCAACATTGAAACAGATCAGCAGCAACATGAAACAGATCAGCAGCAACATGATATGGTTTTTCACAGTGATTATTCTAGTTAGAGATTCATGAGTCTAACAGCCTCAGGGTAGAAGCTGTTCCTCAGTCTAGTGGTTCTACACTTAATGCTCCTTAACCTCCTTCCTGAGGGGAGTGGGGCAAAAAGTGTGTGTGCTGGGTGGGTGGGGTGTCCAGGCCCATTTGAAGTTCACCCATGATGGGAGAAGGTCTTGTGGTCAGATGAGACCAAAATAGAGCTTTATGGTATCAACTCCAGTCTCAGTGTTTGGAGGAAGAAGAAGGATGAGTACAACCCCAAGAACACTGTCTCAATTGTGAAGCATGGGGGGTGGAAACATCTTACTTTGGTGTTGCTTTTCTCCAAAGATGACAAGTCGACTGCACCGTATTGAAGGGAGGATGGATGGGGTCATGCATCATGAGATTTTGGCCAACAACCTCCTTCCCTCAGTAAGAACATTGAAGATGGGTCATGGCTGGGTCTTCAGCATGACAATGACCCCAAACACACAGCCAGGACAACTAAAGAGTGGCTCTGTCAGGAGCATTTTAAGGTCCTGGAGAGGCCTAGCCAGTCTCCAGACCTGAACCCAATAGGAAATCTTTGGAGGGAACTGAAACTCAATGTTGCCCAGTGACAGCCCCGAAATCTGAAACATCTGGAGAAGGTCTGAGTAGAGGAGTGGGCCAAAATCCCTGCAGTGTGCCCAAACCTGCTCAAGAACTACAGGACACATCTTACTGCTGTAACTGCAAACAAAGCTTTCTGTACCAAATATTAAGTTCTGTTTTTCTATTGTATCAAATACTTATTTCATGCAATAAAATGCAAATAAATTATTTTAAAATGATACAGTGCGATATTTTTTAATTCAGTTTTTGCCTTGGATTCTGTCTCTCACAGTTGAAGTGTAACTATAATTAAAAAAAAAAATACAGATCTCTACATCCTTTGTAGGTGGGGAAACGTGAAATCAGCCTCAAATACTTATATTCCCCACTGTATACACACACACACACAAACAAAAGTTTTTACTTTTTTCGATGTTGTACATTAGATTTTATACATTTCGACACATTTTCCATCACTGCTATAATTTAAACAAATTGTGTTTGTGATGGAGGCTTAACGAGGTTGTTAAGATGCACATTCATTTCTCAAGGAGTTAGTTCTTAGAGAGTTTATGTCAAGGAACATATGCAGGGGGAACTCAGGGAATATTAACTCAAGGAGCCTAGGACTTACATTTTCCAACAGGGGAAACAAAACAGTGACTTGAATGAACCGTCAAAGACCAGCGAGTCCACTCTGTCTTTTAAGCAGGAGTTTGATTGGAGGTAATGAACCCCAGGTGTGTCACTAGACCAGGAGTAAGCATCTTCATCAACTGAACGGCCGCACAGAGAATTAGAAATACATTTCCTCCAAGGCAGATAATCCTGAATACTTTTTTCAGAACTTTTCCTGTTGCGGTATAATTATCATGCTTGATTTTACTGTAAATATGTCTCCCCAATATTCTTTGGGAATATAAATCACACTTTAAACTGACTCTTGTGACAATATATTTGTCAGCTTAAATATGAAAACAAAAACTTATATTTGCTTTTTGAAGTCTTGGTCCAGTTTAATTCTGCAAACACAACAACCTAAAATGTGTTTTAGCTTAATTCAAAGGTTCAGTGTATTTGCCCAAGATGTTTAATTTAAACTGCTTCAAGTTTCATTGATAAAATGCAGGTTTTCATCAATTTATTTATTTTTCTTTTCAATTAAGAATATTGGGGATGGAGCTGGAGTGATGACTCTCCGGATGGAGATTGTCCAAGGACCACTTTTGGCTCTTGGGCCACATGTTGCCCACATCTGCTCTAAACCCAGATGAAGAGGTGGCAGCAGCATCTGGTGGAAAAAACTCTAAACTAAATGTGCCCACTTCGAAGTATTCAGCTGTTTTGTAATAAAACTCAGGTTGGATCAACTGACTTTTTTTATGTTTATGAATGTTTCTGTTCAGTGCCCTAAGATGACTTCTGTTGTGACTTGTGCTTTATAAATAAACTGAATTCTGCTGAGCATTAAGTTGCTTTGGTTGCAGTTGTCCTGCAGGTGGCAGCAGAGAGCAGCTATTAGTGGAAACAATGGAAGAAGAAACGCCACGGGCTGGACTACATCTCCCAGAAAGCACTGCGACCGGCAGACAGTAAACAAGTCGCATGAAGGACAAGGAAACATGATCGGTGAGTTACTTTAACCCACTTGTTACCGAATGTCCGTCAGCTGATCGATCACGCAGAGAGTTACATGATCGCCCGCCTGTCATGGAGGCGGGTGATGATAAAGGCAAAGAGTTAAAACAAATCCACCTGCATGTCAGACAGGTCTACTAGCCCCAACCAGTCACATTGAAGCGTTTATCCGGGGATATGATAAATCTATAAGTGTGTGAAACATTTAGATTTTTGAAGTTTTCCTGTTCGATTATGATTTTAAATAAAACTGTTCCTCTGACTGTTGGTATGAGATCTCTGAGAACTTCATCCCCAACATGATCATCGTCCTGCTGACTTTTCAGGCTTCTTCTTTTTGTAGCACAGTTATTAACATGTTTAAGACAAATATCTCTGTCCACTAATTGGGAATACAACACGTACTTTCTGTAAACAGGCTCTGGTGACAATAAACCTAAATATATATTACCTAAATATGCAAGAAGAAGAAGAAGATCAATAAAGAAGTTAAAAGTTATACATTTGCTTTTTTGCGTCTATAAGTTTCAGTCTAGTTCTAGAGTAACTTGATTTAAAAAGCCAACAATTTTCAGCCTGGTCATCTGGACAGTTTCTTTTTTTTTTTTTTTGCTGAAAGGTTTCACCTTCCATCCAGAAGGCTTCATCAGTCTTAAGGAAACACACAACACAAAACTGATTCTTCCCCCAAACGGCTTACTCCAAAGTGGAACAAACCAGTTAAGTTGTTGCTAAGATAGTGTCTTTGGCACGTCCCCTCCTCCGATGACGGCCCTCTTCCTCGTTGACAGTCATGTAAACTGGTTCAAACCCAAAAAAGTCCATGCTCAATAATCCAGGTATACAATCCAACAATTTTCAGTCTGGTCATCTGGACAGTTTTTTTTTTGGTATTTGTACTTTTTTGGTTTTGAACCAGTTTGACATGACTGTCTATGAGAAAGAGAGCTGGCCTCAGAGGAGGGGGCGTGCCAAAGACACCATCTTGGCACCAACATAACTGGTTCGTTCCACTTTGGAGTAAGCTGTTTGGGGGAAGAATTAGTTTTGTGTTGTGAAACTGTGTAATTTGTGTGCAGAAACTGTCCAGATGACCTGACTGAAAATTGTTGGATTGTATACCTGGATTATTGAGCATGGACTTTGTTGGTTGATTAAAAAAGGTTTTAGCTTATTCATTCAACCTTTATTTATACATGTTAATCCCATTGAGCCTCTGGGACACATTTACAAGAGAGACCTGATTTATTTAACGACAACGGTGAATAACAATGACAACAAAATACAGTTACAAAAGAGGCATACAGATTTAAATTTATTTTCTTTTCATTTCTTTTTTTTTAACAAATCAAAACAAAATAGCAATCAAAGGGACAGTCGAAAGAAAAAGTAGCGAAAAGAAAGAAAGAAAACAAAAACAGCTAGATTGTAAGGCGGTGTAGAAAACTAAAAACAGGAACATGTCTGCGTTGGTTTTTGACAGGAACTTGGCAGATGTTTGAAGCCACTCAGAGAGGTCAAGGTCGAGAGCTTCAGATCTTTGTGCAAGATGTTCCAGGAAACAGTAGGATGATTTGGATGTATTTTTCCAAGATGTTTAATTTTGACTTCCTAATGTTTTAGTGATAAAATTCTGTTTTTTAACAACTTATTTAAACATTGTTTTCTTTTCTACTAAGAATAATGGGGACCAGATGGAGATTGCCCAAGGGCCAAAAGTGACCTCTCTATGTAGCTTCAAATATCTGCTAAATTCCTGGGAAAAACCAATACAGACACGTTCCTGTTTTTACTTTTCTACACCGCCTTATAATCTAGCTGTTTTTTGTGACATTGTTTAATACCTTTTTATTTTCACTTGTAATTCTCAATTTGGGAGTTTGCATGTTCTCTCCGTGCATGCGTGGGTTTTCTCCGGGTACTCCGGTTTCCTCCCACAGACCAAAAACATGCATGTTAGGCTGATTGGTAACTCTAAATTGTCCCTAGGTGTGAGTGAGAGAGTGAATGGTTGTTTGTCTCATTTGTCTCTATGTGGCCCTGTGATGGACTTGCGACCTGTCCAGGGTGTACCCCGCCCCTCGCACAGTGATTGTTGGACATGGGCACCAGCGACCCCCGTGACCCAAAAAGGAATAAACGGGTAAAGAAAATGGATGGATGGATGGATTCTCAATTTGTACGCATCCTTTATGATTGTCTATTGTTGTCATCATTCTTTGTTAAAATCAGGTCTCTCTTGTACACGAGTCCCAGAGGCTCAATGGGATTAACCTGTCTAAATAAATGTTGAACGAGTGATTTATGTAATATTATGGAGCAGAGTGAAACATAAAGTACCATCAGAGCAGAGTTAAGTTCAGTTAAACCAGGATACAGGAAGAAAGCCCAGCTTTGTTAGACTTGCTGTGTGGTGCAGCCCTCATGAGTTGATCATTACTTGTGTGTTGTAAGTCTTCGTGCGGTACAACCTGGGGCCCGGAGTGGCCGTGGAGCTGCAGGACTCCTCCAGCGTGGCTGAGCTGAAGGAGGTGGTGGGCAGTCAGCAGGGAGTCCATCCCGAGGAGCTCAGAGTCCTGTTTGCTGGCAGGGAGCTGCAAAGCGCCGCCTCCCTGCAGGTGAGCTCCTACACAACCTGATGTTACTCATCAAAGGAGGACCAGACAGTCGGCCCCAACCATGAACCCTCCACCACCGTGTATTGTATTAGGTGTTTGTACTGATGGGGTTAAGCTAGCAAATTGACTCTTATGATATTTTTAGCTTTTAGCTACAATTGTGCCACTTTTGGCTTTTAGCTAGCATTTTCTACTATAGCTTTAAGCTAAGCTTTTGCTACTTTTAGGTCATCTATTCACCTAAACCACCTAGATCTGGGATCTCAAGCCTCTTCACTGGTCAACACCAAACCTACCTGCAAGTAACACTCCTCCTCTCATGCCTCCTCCTGCTCCTCTTTTTAGGGTTGTGACCTTCCAGAGCAGAGTACAGTCCACGTGGTCTTACCTACGTCAGGCTCCGCCTCTTCTCAGCTCCACGTCATGCAGGAGCGACCGTCTTGGAGCAGAGAGGACGTACAGGACAGATTGACCAGACTAGACCTGAGCTCCTCAAGGCTCCCGGACATCTCTTCAGGGCTTGCTGTTATCCTGGAGGGGAATGAAGGAGGAAAAGGAGCAGCAGGAGAAGGTGCAGGCGGAGGATCAGAAGGAGATGCAGCAGGAGGCACTAATGGGAGAACTCAGACAGGAGAACAGAAAATTGCAGTTCAAAAAGGTCAGTATGTCAATATAATCTCTGTGCCCAGGTGTGTGTAATCTGTGTGCAGGTGTGTGTAATCTATGTGCAGGTGTGTGTAATTTGTGTGCTGGTGTGTGTAATATGTGTGCAGATGTGTGTAATCTGTGTGTAGATGTGCGTAATTTGCGTGCAGGTGTGTGTAATCTGTGTGCAGGTGTGCGTAACATGTGTCCAGGTGTGTGTAATCTGTGTGCAGGTGTGTGTAATCTGTGCGCAAGTGTGCATAATCTGTGTGCATGTGTGTGTAATCTGTGTGCAGGTGTGCGTATTCTGTGTGCAGGTGTACGTAATCTGTGTGCAGGTGTGCGTAATCTGTGAGCAGGTGTGTGTAATCTGTGTGCAGGTGTGGGTAATCTGTGTGTAGGACTGGTGTGTGTAATCTGTGTCCAGGTGTGTGCAATCTGTGTCAACATTTGTGTTCTGTGTATTCAGGTGTGCCATCTTGCAGTACTTTCTTTGTGTACTGTAAATGCTGCTGTTCCATCCAGCCAGGGAAGCTTCGTGTTCGCTGTCAGAGCTGCAGACAGACCACGCTGACACTCAGCAGGGTGAGAAAACTACAAACGTAGTTCTTCTTGTCGACTTCTTCTCTTTGCCTTTTGTACTTGTGCATTTTTTGTGTTTATCCTTCAGTCTTTTTGTGTACTACCTCTGCATTAATTTGTACTTCCTCTATACTTCCTATGTACTTTTTCTGTTCTACCTCAGTATTGTACACTTGCTGTGATTAATCTTTTTACTTCCTTTGTACTTCCTCTTTATTCCCATGTCCTTCCTCTGTTTTACTTCCTGTGACTATTCTTTTTACTTCCTGTGTACAGTACTTCCACTGTACATTCTGTATACATTCTGTGTACTTTATCTGTATTTCCTATTCTTTATTTTTATTCCTGTATTTATCTTTGGTAGCATCTATGTTACCTCCTGTGTACTGCCTGTATACTACCACTCTTTTAGTATTTGTACTTCTATGCTGTTAGTATTATTACTCTGTGACATTTTGTGTTAGTCCTTTTTACTTCTAGTGTACTACCATTATGTTAGTATTTGTGCATTTTGCATCTGCCCTGTGTAATTCCTGTGTAGTACCACTCTGTTAGTATGTCAACCTTGTGTACTCCCTGTGTAGTACTGTTAGTATTTGTACTCTGTGTAGTTGCCCTGCCAGCGGTGGCTGACTGTCACACCTCTGTTTTCTGTGTCTCAGGGTCCGTCCTGCTGGGATGACGTCCTCCTACCTGGAAGAATTTGCGGCATCTGTCAGAGTGATTGTTGCCAGGGTAACAAAGCGGTAAGGGGGCAGGGCTTAACTATTAAACTGCATCACTTTGGATCAGGAGATAGTTATTGTCGAGTCAGTCCTCACCGTGATTGATTAACTGATCGCAGGAGTTCTACATGAAGTGTGCATCTCATCCGACTTCAGAGGACGACGTCTCTGTGACCCTTGACCTCATTGTGACAAACATCAGAAGCGTGCCGTGCATCGGCTGCGCTGACGTTATGTGAGCACACACAGTCACACACTCAAAGCCGCTTTTTCTGTGTGTGTCACTGATTGACAAAGGAACTGAGGAGTATTTCTGAGCCTCATTAATGGTAGCTGGACATGTTTTATGTTGTTGTTCTTTGAAGACTATCTGAGTCTCCTCCAAAAGATTACTTCACATCTGAGTAACTGATCTGTCCATCCATTCATCTTTTTGTCTATCCGTGGTTGGGTCATGGAGGTAACCAGAAACTCTAACCTCTCTCTCCGCAGTAGCTCTTTCAGCTCTAGATAATCGTGTTATCGTGGATATGTTTCACACAAATGACCCTTGTTATTTTTATAACAGAATATTTCCACATCTCGCTTCACTTTTGTTTTGATCTGACTGTTTAGATTGTCACGTGTCATAAATGACTTACCTGTCATTTATGAACCGACAATTGTTACAAGACAATTGTTCTCTCAAATCACGCACATCATTTTAGACATTCATGTTTGGTTATAAACTTTAGGCTCTTGCTGTTATCCTCCACCTCCCTCTGCTTGTCTCATATACTGTCAGAGCTGCAAACCCTATCTCCTGAAGCTTGAAGGAAGAGAGACGACCTTCTCGTTCTCTGAGGAGATATGTTCACGTAGATTCTCAGTCATCAAGGAGATGGCAAATCCCCCTAAAATAAAAATAAGAAAACAAAAAAACAAAACAGGGTGAGATGGGTAGTTGAAAAAAAATCTTATTTTCTGATTCATTGGAAAGAACTCCAACACTCTCAGCCAGGGTCTTGTGTGTCTCTTCATACCTGCCCAACACCTATTTCTCTGGCCAGCTCAGGAGCATGAGAGAGTCCAGAACCTCTCCAGGAGTTGGTTTTCACAACCCGACCTGTACATGAATGTAAGCCTAACTATATTATGTGCAGTTATATTGCTTACGCTCACACACAAGCTCTGGCTACTTTCCCCAGTGTGAGTTAGGAAAAGGGTGGCAGCTACAGGTGCATGTTCCAGGTAGAGTTGCATTCAGGCCCAAAAAAATCAGACGAAGTAGAGCCGCTGCTCCTCCACATCGAGCGGAGCCAGTTGAGGTGGTTTGGGGTCTGATAAGGTTTTCCCCTGGACGCCTCCTTAGGGAGAAGTTGAAGGCCTGTCCAACTAGGAGGAGACTCTGAGGGAAGACTCAGGACACGGTGGAGAGACTACGTCTCTCGGTTGGCCTGGGAACGACTTGGAATCCTCCCAGAAGAGCTGGAAGATGTGGCTGTGGAGGGGGATGTCTGGACCTCCCTGCTCATGCTGTTGCTCCTGCATCCTGACTCAGAAATAAGCAGAAGATAATGGATGGATGGATGAATTTCCATCCA